AAGCTAATCAAGTTTTCTTATGCATTATTTATCTGTTAACATGTAAGGAAGACCCAAATTAAAATTGTGTCAACCGGGATATGGCAATGATGTGATAGATCTGGAAGTGATTCAACAGCAGAACAAAGCTAGTATGATTCAACACTTTTTGTCCACCCCTCCCCTCAGGATTGTTTAAGGTGGTAGTGTGAAAAATAAAAGAAGGTTAATTCGATGAATGGAAAGGGACAAAGGGAAGAAGGGAGTCACCGCCTGTGCTCACCTTCAGGTTTCGATTTAGGAATTTACATTTCTGAATGTGTTACGGTCCACAGCGATGCATCTGTCCAAAACACAGCATCTCTTCCTAGGGACACGCTTGAAAGCGCCCCGGTCGCTGTGGCGGCTCGGTGATGCTGGCTCCTCAGCAGCAAGCTGTTTCCTGCTAGAGGGCTGCAGGCGCGGCCTCCAGAGCCCTACAGCGATCAGGAGACGGTGCCCTGACCTGCCAAAGACCCAGACAGCCTGGTGCAGGAGGCAAGGCAGGAGGAGAGGAGCGCACTGCTCTGGGGCCTCTCTGGCCAAGGTTAGTGCACCTGCTCCTGGCCGTCTGCTCGAAGGTCGTCTCCTGTGTTAGCTAGTGCACTTCCTGCTGAGGGTAATTAGGGTTCTTCTTTAATAATAATCCTTCATCTTTCTCTAAGTACTTCTCAGGCATTGTAAGGGAGGTGCTAATTATTCCCACTATGAAGACCAAACTACTGAGGCTCTGCCACTGCTCCCCCGATGCACACATGGTAGTGAAATGCCTGTTGAACCTGAGAGCTGAGTACAGGTCACCTGACTCCTTGCTGGCCCACCCCACACTGGCCTGGTAGCCTGGGCTCTGAGGACTGATAACTGTGGGTGGCACTTCCCCACCGTAGAGCCTTGTAGCAGCAGCTTCCTATAGGGCCTGTCCTTCGCTAGGCAGCCGCCCTCCTCACACCGTGATTATGGAGAGACGTCAGCACCGCTTCACCCTTCCAGCGGGGTGGCAAGCTGTGTGCAGTAAGCGGCCTCGTCTAAGTTCAGTCTCTGCCGAAGCAAAAGCAGGTGAGTCAGACTCCAGTTAGCACCTCGAGTCACTTGGAGCATCCGGATGTGGCCGGCAGAGCCGCATAAACGCAGTGGTTTCTGGGATCTCTGGGTTACTGCGCAGAGGCTGCCTCTGACCGTGGCGAGCTGCGGCCCCGCACCCCTCCTGTCCCCCAGCCTTGCAGCGCTGGGCCCTGCTCGTGCTGTCGTGGCTCACTGACCACCACGTAGCGGACCGTTTTCAGGCAGCTCCCCCGACACTGACGCCGCGTGGGAGCAGCTCTCGAGTTAAAGGTGGTGTCACAGTTGGCTTCCACAGTTACTGTTCACGCTCCTGTCTCACTGTGTCTCTTCCCCTCCCTTTTTCCTGTCCAGATGAAGGAAATCTAGTATCAGACCCGCACACTAAAACCAGTATTTTTGGAAAGCCAGAGTGCCTTAAGTAGATGAGTAACTTTTATAATGAGAGATACTTTCCAGAAAATTGCGTGATCCATAAGGACTTTGAATGGGGAACACTATCCTTCCCGCCTCTCTGGGTTGCTCTGCAAGGCGTGGCATCAGCAGCGCAGGCTGGACGGTCCAGGAGCCTGCGGTGTCTTGGGCCCAAAGCCGCACTGAGCCTGCGGCCTCCTGAGTTAGCACCCACTTGAAGCCTCCTTGGGCTCCCCGCGCCCCCCACCTTACAACTTGAAATGAAGATCTTCATGGCTGGGGTGATAGTTTCCCTGTTTCTAAGACTTGACGCTCCTTCTTGTCTATTCACGTTTGTCCAAAGCCCTGTGTACAGGCTGTCGGCTGGTTCCTGCTTGGCCCCAGCGACTGCATTAAATGTTTCTGGACTTGTTTAAACTGGTGTATTTGCATTTCACTGCCAGGAGGTTGTGCTATAAACAATGGGGTTCAGGCACCACCGTGAACCAGGCGATGAAATTTTATTTTAAAATCTGAAATGCTGTGTAAGCATTTAAGGTATGAATTGGTAATTGTTTCCCAACAGCTCCCATTAGATATGGTTTATTTGTAGCCCATCCTCTCTTCAGGGACCCGGGAGGTTAACACACTGAAACATCCTGCATATCATTTACATTGTAAAGCCAGCGTCAAGGGAAAGTGACCATAACTTTTAAGAGTTCTTAGTACTAGAATGGGTTTTGTGCCTCGGTCCCTGGGGAAAACACGGTTTTAATTTTTCATTGGAAAATAAGAAAAGAAACCTTCGCACTTTAATTAAGGATTCAAATACGCTGAAACTGAGAAATACCTTTCAAAAGAAGAAAAGAAAAGTCTGGTTCTAAGATTGAGAGCTCTCTTTTTATCCCTAATGAATTCAGTAAAACGCAAACTTTTAAAAATCATCTGTCTCATTTGAGATTCGAGATCATCAAATTCTGTCTAAATATTTTGTTTTAACTTCTAAGCTCATTATGGGCTCTTTGTGTTAACTTGTATTAAAATCTGTCAGCTATGACTGGTCTCATAAGCACAGTCAGCGGACCAGAATAAGTTAATTATTTACTTGTGTCACTAATGCTCTTCATCTAATGAAATGCACAGCTGTGTTAGATCTGCAGTGGGATGTGTGGCCCCCATTGTTCCCCCAGTCCGCGGAGGGGAGAAGCTCGATGATGGAGAGCCCTCGGCTCTTTCTGCTGTTCTGGCTTTCTGTGTCGATTTCATGGATCTTTTATCATTCACTTTCACACAAAACAAACAACACAGGGCTGTCTGCTATGGGAACCATCTTGGCATATAAAAGGGTTTTCAGAGCCCGAAGTAATTTTAAGTTAGCGAAGATTTAATTTTTGGCTTACAGGTGCCCCTGGTTGAGATACAGCCAGAGCAGTTCCTGTAACAGAATGAAAAAATCTGAAAGCTTCTTAAGTATATTTTTTAAAACAAAATGTCAGAAAAGGGCAGATAAGAAAACAATTTCCCCCAAAAAAGGAGCCTGCACTAAATATTAATCAGATTTCAAGGGAAGTTTTTAGGGATTCTGATTTCAGCAGGATGAGCATTTCTTTCATTTTAGTAACACAATAAAGATGAGTTTACTTGATGGAATGTGTCAGATAAGACAAAACACAATTGCAAGTCATCTCTGTACATCCCCTCCCCCGCGTGACTGTGTCCCCACCTCCTGCCCCTCTCCCCGCCTCTGACCTGTGGGGGACGTGGATGGTGGACGCGCTTCCTCCAGTGCAGACAGCGCCCTCCTCGTGAGCAGCGGAAGGTGCGTGCTTTTTCCTTGGCTCTGCTTTCGAGGGTGGAGCTGATCTGTGCCTCTTCACCAGCCAGTTGCACTCCCCGCAGATGCCCCAGGTCCGGCCCCTCATAGGAATTGCCATTTTTAACATTTCGTTCACCTCTGAACAATGTTGTTGTCTGTGCATGCAGATTTACAATTTGATCTCTTTCAAAGTAGATTTCCCAGTAGCTCTAAGGTTTTGTCCAATAATTTCAATGTGGACAAGATGGATTTTTGGAGGGACGAAAGAACGGTCACACATTCTGCTTGATTTAAATTCTAACACGCAGCTGAATTTGAAGTAGAACTGAATAATTATTTGTGTTCCTCATGTAGGAAAGCATACGCTCTTCATAGTAAACAAGACCATCAGCACCAGAACTCCAGGGAAAGTAACTGCGTGCTCTAGAATTCAGCTCCACAAACCTAGTTACCATCTTGTTGGCAGCCAGTGGAATCAGAATATTAATAGCCAGTAGTAGATAGGCAGATGGCATTCTTTTCCTTTGGACCTTAGCTCTTCTATAACAAGTCACACATGAATGTTTTAAGTGGTCTGAGGGGCTTGGGGCACGGCTGAGTGGTAGAGTACTTGCCTAGCATGCATGAGGCCCAGGCCTTGATCCCCAGCACCATACACACACACACACACAGTCTGGATAAATTATCTACAACTGAAACTGAGGACTGAAAAATTTGACAGCAGTTTTTCCATAGGTGCAGATAGTTGATCACCTCACACACAGAAAAGGAGTTTTTTTTACTATATGAGCAGTTTTTCTTAGTTCAGTGCCACTGTATACTAGTTTCCCAATCAAAATTATATAGATTGTGGTTAACTAAATTCTACACTTCATCTCCTCCCAAGAAAAATCAGAATAATTAAAAACTATTTAGCAATGAAATCCCCTCAGCTTAACATAGAATTAAGGGAGTCATCAAGTACAGCTAACTTAAGAGTAGCAGTACTGTGCTGAGCGGGTAGTCCTCATTTTGTTCCGTTTTCATGCTTAGAATTCCATTTCTAATTCTTGCTTTTTCCCCAAGAATGATTTGGCATTTAGTTTTCTTATTTGTCTTTGTAGGTTCAATGAAGGATCACTTTTCTAATGTGCTGTAAGCTATAGGAATTAAAATTCTTGGGGCAGCTGAGGCCTAGCCAGGGCAGCCTGGCAAACCTGCCAGGCTGACAGTGCCCATGCCAGTAGGTGGACTGTTAGCACCTCAGCCACACCCGAGCACCTGTCGTCACAGTTCCTGAAAGGCACATTTACACACACACCTCTGTTCAGGCTGCTGTGTGTGCTGGTCAGAGAATCTGGGTTCTGTGACTTGGGGTACAGAGCCTGCTGCTGAGGAGCAGAACTGCTGCTGCCTTCAGGCCAGTGGACACAGGCAAGCCCTGGCCACGCAGTCCCCCTGTTGATCTCAGGCCCTGGGCGGGCAGCCGACACACTGTTATATGTCTTGCAGGCCCGACAGTCTGCAGCCACAAGCTTTTCTGCAAGGAGAGTCATTTTTGAACTGTTTGTCTAGTGGGATTGTTGGAAATTGCTTTTGTTCCTCTTGATAGAGACCATGGGGAGGGTTTTAGAGCAGAGGAAATAGAGATAGCAGCAGGGAGATCCCAATTAAGTACTGTATTCTTCCTTTCTGCCAATTTGCTTTCCGTGGCATGAAATCCTCTCTCCCCCAGGTGTGTGTGGCTTGATCGTCCCCCAGGAAGACATGCCATTTTGTGATTCTGGCATCTGTCCGGACATCATAATGAACCCACACGGCTTCCCATCGAGAATGACGGTCAGTTACCTCGAGGCTTTTCAGAGCACTGTTCTTAAGGAAGAAAGCAAGCACTTAGTTCAGTGATAGGGACTGAGGCCGCAGGACCCTGCCACTGGTTTTCTGAAAGAGACCTCTGAGCCCTGCTGGACAGGCAGGCCCTGAGCCCAGGCAGTTCTGGGCTCCTCTGCAGAGAACCAGGGGCTCAGCTACACTCTGGGGTCTCCCGAGTGACGAACTTGGCCCCCAGAAAGAAAGCCCTGTTGAGCCCCAGGAGTCTGCCTTCGTAGTTACCACCTGTCGGTCCTGGCTGCTGCTCTCCCTGACCACGTGGCCTTGGACGAGCTGCCTGACGTCTGCTTGTCTGGAAACAGGAAATGATAGGAGCGAACTCTAGGGGTCTCGAGAGGTAGAAAATCAGATGACATGCGTTGAACTCTTTCAACACAGCGTGTGGCCCTGACGAGTTAGCAGAGTTGCTGTTAATTTATCCCTGTTAGTCCCATCCTTTAGGGAGAGAAAGCCAGAGACAAGCAAGGAGAGTTCCTGCCCTTGGGACTGTGCTCACCCAGCCTGTTCCCCTGTGCAGGTGGGTAAACTCATTGAGCTGCTGGCCGGCAAGGCGGGCGTGTTGGACGGCAGATTCCACTACGGCACCGCATTTGGCGGGAGCAAGGTGAAGGACGTGTGTGAGGACCTCGTCCGCCACGGGTACAACTACCTGGGGAAGGACTACGTCACCTCTGGAATCACAGGGTGAGTGTGCTGCGGAAGAGGGTCCCTGAGGCTGGGAGGGCACCCCTGTGCCTTCATAACCGACGAGGGCTGTACCTTGAGCTGCTGGCTTCAAGCAGAAAGCTTTTGTATCTTAGCACTGCTCTAAGAAAATCCAAATTTGGAACACTGGTAAGTTAAGGAGTACTGTTTCCATTGGTCAGGCTACAACTTAAAAAGTAGAAAGTCGGGTGATGGCGCACACCCACAAACCCAGCACTTGGGATGCTGCATCAGGAGAATCAGGAGTTTGAGGCCAGACTGAGCAGCATAAAGATTTAATTCATCAAAATATGATTTCTGTCTTACTTTAGGGAAGATACCGATTGTATACCATACAAAGGATTTTCCTTAGCTATTGAATCTCCTCTGTATTTGTGATGCAGATAACTGGTGCTTTGACAGTACTTGCAGCCTAAGGCCTAGCATATTTAGATTTGTGACTAGACAAGAAAAGTAGCAGGCGGAAGGTAGCTTCTCAGAGGGGCCTGACGGAGCCCGTGTCTCACACTTCCTTTCTCCTGCTCCTCGCTCTCGGGGCGCTCGTCATTTTCAGGCAGAGTCAGTGCACACGGAACAGCCATGCTGGGGAGGGCTGGAACAGGCCAGGGCCCTAGGCTGGTCACCCTTTTTGTACAACCCTGGTGCCCTCGCCATGGTGTCTCCCCAGGTCTGGCCTGCTTGAGCCCGAGGAGAAGTTGACGGAGCCATGCATGCAAGTGTGCAAGTGAGCAGAGCCAGGTGTGCACAGCTGCCTGTCCCCTGAGCCCACGGCGTCTCATGCTGCTCCCCCGCTCTGCTGTGGCCCAGTGTGTCCTCACCTCAGCGCTTCTGTTCCCTGCTCTAGCTCTAGATTTTAGAAAAAGGCTTTTGCTTTGTTTTGTTTTGCTTTTTTTTCTGCATGTGCACACTCTTCAAACCCTCACCACAGGTATCCAGAGGGTCTGAATAAGCTGTGCCACAAAGGTTTGCTGAGCACCAGCGGTGCACCTGACAGGGTCACAGGTGCTGGCATCGCGGGGACAAAGGAGGCACAGGGCTGATCCTTTCGGAGTTTGCACCTTGCGGGGAAGACGGGCAGCAAGCAGAGAAATAACCCACTAGTCCAGTAGCAGTCAGTGCGGAGGAGGGCAGAGGCTGCTTCCGAAAGGCTGTCGGGGAGAGGCTGTCTGTGGAGCTGCACTGTGCGCAGGGCCGTGTGTGCCCGGGGACGGAATGTCCCAGGCAGAGACCCAGGGGCATGCTGCAGGAAAGCAGGCGGTGTTGCTGGAGTAGAGCGAGCTGGGAGAGAACAGGAAGAAACAGGTGGGCAGGAACTCGATTGCTTTGGCCTTCTGGCCGTGTTACAGAGTTCTGGCAACATAGGTTGTGTGTGGGGAGTTTGGCACGGAGTGTCCTTGTGCTGTGACAGGACTCCTGCGTGGTGTGCAACGGTCAGGCTGTTGAGGCATGGGCGTGGGAGCCGGAAGACCAGCAAGGAGATGGTCCGGGCAGCCCAGGCAGAGGAGGGTGGTGGCAGGAACTGGACTGCCTGCTGCACACCTCGTTTAAATGCGTCTTTTTACTGTAGCTCCACAAACCGCACATCCTGCGTACCCAGCCACAGACCCTTTGTGAGCCAGAACATGCAGCGAGGGTGCTAGGAAGGCCCACTCTCCCAGGCCTTGGCTCCTAAGCCAGCACCGACCTCTCTTCCAGGGAGCCCTTGGAAGCATACATCTATTTCGGACCCGTGTACTACCAGAAGCTGAAGCACATGGTGCTGGATAAGATGCATGCCCGGGCCCGCGGGCCACGCGCCGTCCTCACCAGGTAAGAGGAGTGGTCTCCAAAGGACCCGTGGAGCACTCGGAACCGTTTTGCATGCTCGGACACCTTGGGCAGGCTCAGCGAGGGTTCTGTGTTCCTGAAATGTCAGAAGGCGGGGTCACAGGCCTTAAGAGAAATCATGTACTTACGAGCAACGTGATGAAAAATACCAGCCAATGAAAACTTTCACAGGCCAAGGTGCAGCCCACTGCAGGCCACACTAGCCCCCTGTACAGCTGCTTGCTGTGTTCCTGTCAGTAAATACGTCCTCCTCACGAAGAGCCTTGTGCCCACGTGTGTGTCAGTGGCGCTCCTGCACCACCGGAACCCAGAGAACGCACACAGTTACGTGGCAGCCCAGAGCACAAGGCACCGTCCTTGCGTACGTCTTGGGTCCCCGGGTGCAGCAGCGGGTCCGTTTCGGGGAACTGGTAGACGCGTTGGGAGAGGGCGCTGTGACCACAGTCGGCCCTGGACCCACAGGAGCACGTTCAGCCAGACAGCTGAAGGGGCGGAGTCGTCCCGCACACGCGCAGCATTTTCCTGTCATGGTCCCTGACAGTGCAGGGTAGCGGCTCCGCACGTGAGCTCGAGGCTGCCCTGACCCGTTACTCTTGGCGCTGCCTGCCTTTCGGTGGCGAGGCTGGCACTAGGCCTGTGTGCCCCCATCCCTGGAAAGCGGTCATTGCAGCAGACAGGACTTGACCGTCATGCTGAGCCGCTGTGTCAGTGGCTCGGGTGTCTGCACTTCCCATCGTGATTCTGCACCATACTCCTGCTTACTGAGAAAAGTCACTGTACACTGTGCGGGGAAAACCTCGCAGCAACCTCGTCTCTGGGTTACATCATTTCTCTTCTGCCAGATTTAATCTTGTGTTCAGTTCATCCTGGCCCTGGGAACAGTGGGCTGCACCACGCACACGCACACGCACACACACACACACACACGTCATTTAGCCTCGCTGTGTGTCCCATCCAGTCTATCCCTTCCAGGTCTGCGTAAGTAGACTCAGTGTTTGTGAAACAATCAAACCCTTCAGGATGCATTTTTCAGGCCCCGTTGGAAGCAGCACACGACTGTGTGTGGAAGATGTGCACAGGTTGCATGCGACCTCTACACTGTTTCATCCAAGGGCCTGAGCACCGCAGGCTGTGCTCTCCCTGGGCATCCTGGACCCGATCTCTCCTGCAGTGCCGAGGGCTGATTGGAGTGTTTCACCTGTTCTTAATGCCAGCCTTTGTAGCGGGGCCTGGCGTCTCAGGGAACCCTGGACAGCGCCCCCAGACCGTTCTGGCTGTTGCAGCTTGGGGGGGCAGGGACGGGGCTCCCACGCCTTTTTGTGGAGGTCCAGCAGGCACAGGACGGCCCCCAACGAGGCACTCCCAGCTCCGTGTGTCAGTGGGGCGGGTGGACGGGCCATGGCCCCATCTCCACTTTGCAGCACTCCCAGGGCCTGGACAGATCGCTCGGCTTCTTGTGGCTTAGTTCTGCTCGTCCGTGCAGTGGAGCTGATCATACCACCACAGGGCACTGGCGGGTGGAGAGCAGCTACCGTGCCGCTGCACTCTGTAGGAGATGCTCAGTCAGTACGCCGGCCCCGCCTGGCTCAGCCCGAGCATGGCGTGAGTGGTGTGACGTGGGGTAGGAAATGAGGCAGCAGGAGAGGTGTCAGTGACTCAGCACCGACCGTAAATCGGGTGCAGGTACAGCCTGTTGGAGTAACAGACATACAGGTGCTTAAAGGTGCTGGACAGGAGACCTTGCGATTCTGAGGCAGAGGTTGGCTTGGCAGTGGGACCCTGCGTGGGCTAGGTGTGTTCTTCCCTGAATTCCTTCCCCTCCTCCACTCCCACATGGGTTGCAGTATCCAAACACCGTTTCAAAGTAGCCTAAGTGTCAGAGCTGTTGCTGCCCACGTTTTGTTTGTTTGTACTTCTCCACCTCCTGCGGGAAGCCTGTCTGCAGGGCGTGGGTCGGTCCCACCCCTCTGCCTGCTCACTCCTCTCCCGGCTCTGGGACCGCACGTGCGCGCTCAGGGATGCAGTTTCCACTTCTGCGTGCTAACTCCGGCCTCCTTGCGAATTGTTCCGCATAGATTTCCTGTCAGCAAGTAATCTATAACTTAATCGATTTCCCATTGTAACTTCTAGCCAAGATCTGACTGGTGATCTAGTAGTGATAGCAATGTAGCACTGGTGTTGTATGGACTTTCCATGGCTCTGTTATATAACAAGTATTATGTGACTGTGCTGTTTGGATTTAACAACAATAGCCAGTTGAGTCCAGCATTTCTCAGGAAAGGTTTTCGGTACAGGTGCGCTGCACTTTCTGAACGAGGTGAGAGGCCGAGCTCAATGTGGGTTAGACCTAGAGCCTCAAGCTCTGCATCTGCCTGTGATGCGCTGTGGCCCTGTTAGTTTCAGAGATAACGCATTTGCTAACACCTTGTTTCAAAGGCAGCCCACCGAGGGGCGATCTCGCGATGGCGGCTTGCGCCTTGGAGAAATGGAGCGGGACTGTTTGATCGGCTACGGAGCCAGCATGCTGCTGCTGGAGAGGCTGATGATCTCCAGCGATGCCTTCGAGGTGGACGTCTGCGGCCAGTGTGGACTGCTAGGCTACTCAGGCTGGTAAGTGCTGCCGTCTGCCTCAGGCCTGCCCTCACCTCCTCGGCCCCCGCACAGGAATCGCCTGGGTCAGAACCCACGTGCTGTAATCTCCAGTCTTTCCTGTAATCACGAGTGCACCTCCCTGTCCGTCCATCCGTCTGTTCGTCCTGAGGTTGGTACTCTGTGTGTCCGTGTTCTATGTGTCTGCATACTGAGCTACTCTCTCCACCACCTGAGTTTGAGCTCCTGAGGAGTCTGGATCCTTTTGTCCCGTACCTCGGCGTGTTTCATGAACACCGCCCCTCATGACACTCGCAGCAAACACATACACAGGTGTTAGAATTACAGCCCGCTACAGAAGCCCTTGCGAGAACCGCGTCCACGCTCTTACTGTAACTCCAGACCCAGAAGGCCGTGTCACCCCATCCTGGGGTGAGTGGTGACAGAGCAGGGCACGCGTGCCATGGCGACTGTCCGTGGTGGCAGGGGCGCACTGTGTCAGCCGCAGCACTGGAGCGAACGAGACTGACACTGCTCCAGTCGCATTCCTTCCGACTGCTGCTCCCTTGATTTCTCAGCGATGCCCTGTATCCGTGGGGCCGCCCGGAACTGAACAGATGGCACAGTCTCCAGCTTAGGACTTCTGTGCAGCGTTGGCCCGAGGACAGTGCTCCCTGCCGTGTGTCCGTGTTGGTGTCATTGCAGCCCCTTTCCTGTTCAGGACAGGTCCACTCTGCCCCCAAAGAACAAAGGCTCTGCTTAGGGTCAGCCATGACCCCTAGCCCTAAAGTCCTCTTGCGGGCAGGACAGCCCAGCAGTCTGCTTCACTCACTTCCTGTGGGATGGAGGGAAGGTCTAACGGGGCCCCAGCAGATGCTGAGGATAGGAGACAGCCCTGCCCTCGGCACCCTCCCCGCTGGGCTCCTCGCGGGCCCCTTCTTCCTCCCCAGGCTTTGGTGGGGCATAGGTGAGCGTTCAGCGGGGCTTGAGAGTACCCGGGCCCTCTCCCCTCCGCGCCTCCCTCCAGACGGAGCCCAGCCGCTTGCCATCCTCAGCTGCCAGTTTCTTGGTTGAAGAAAGCAAATCAAGACTCAGAACAAGGGGGCTTCTTAGAACACCGTGTACCCCGTGCTAGCTAAATGCCCAGACCTTCGGTAAATTATTCTGTGATTCTGGTGTAGGGGAGTCGATGAGTCCTGCTGTGGAGAACTGGTTTCATTTTCGGAGCTAACAGAAGAGGTGGCCACTTGCAGTTCTTTTCATGAGGGTGCAGAGATGGGCGACATTCTTCTGAGAATAAGCCTCCCTCTTTTACAGCAGTGAGATGGGGGTTTGTTTCCGTCCTGAGATGTCTATTCGTCTTTTGAAATGCATATTGGGCTTGCTTTTCATAGTCTGGGCTGTGTAACTAAAAAAGAAAGGAAAAAAGAAAGACAGAAAGAAAAGAAATAGCATAATAGGAAGATGCCAGAAACCTAGTTCCACTATGTTTAAATCTTCAGATTTGGCACAAGGGTTTTTAAGTAACTTGCTCTGAAAGGGTGGTTCACAAGAGCCATTTCATTGACAATAGGGGCTGTGAGACTTCAGAAATAGTTTGGTTTTCTCCTCCTTGCATCCCCCTCACGGAAAGAAGTAAGTAGTAAAGCAGACTCGCTTGGACTCACTCAGATTCACTTGGGAAACCCTGTCTGCTGGCCCCTCAGGTAAACTGACGCGCCTGGGAGGCCTGTACACCGTGGTTGATGTCTGCCCTGGGCTGTTCACTTCCTGTGGCTTTCTTGCTTCGCTTCAGGTTCCCTGTGGGTCATCTGGGGCAGTGCTGGGTTTGAAGCTTGTGGGTTTGGTGTTTGTATGTGTGAAGGCCTCTGAAAGAGGACTAGATCAGATAGTGTGGTTCGAGGGTCGGTACTGTAATGAAGCAGAACTGAGCATACGCTGCGTCTGCTTGTGAGCGGCCCACTTACCCTGGCTGCCAGCCGCAAGCACCCGAGTCCATTCCGCGGCCCGGCTGCTCTGGGCAAAGGGCGACGCTCATCTGCTCCCAGTGGGCACCACTCCCTGCTCGGGAGGGAGGGAGCAGGCGGAGGCATGGGCTGGAGGAAGTCGCCCTTTAATGAGCGGCACAATGGAGGCCCGGTAATTAGAGCGTTCAGAAGCTCGGGTCGGCTTTGCGGGCGGTTTGCACGTCAGCCAAGCCCTGCAGCGTGGGGGTTTACACCGGGACTGTTGTTCCTCAGAAGACGGAGGGCAG